ATGTATGTATGTATGTATGTATGTATGTATGTATGTATGTATGTGTGTATATATCGAATAAAACGAGCAGAAAAGAGATACCGTTTCCTTGATAAGTATTGGATTTTGCTGCAAGTAAGAAAGAAAAGGAGGGAGATGTTTCCTCCATTAATGAGAATATTGAAGGAAATCAGAAAGCAAGGGGAAAGTCTACACAGTATGTTTCACAAGAAAAGTGCAGCTTTTTTTGCAGTAACAAAAAAGACGCAATTTTTCTCGCTTTATCACAAAGCTTTAGAGATTTGTTCCTTCGAGCTATATATAAATTGCTATAGTTTTTTCGTGTAATCATTCTTTGGCTTTTTTAAAGTTTTATACCTTTCGAATTGACTTAGCCGCTTATCCGGCAAGACTTCCATTGCAAAGATTACCATGAGCGCCCGAGCAATCAGTGTTGCGCATCTCATGTTAATGATGTTACTGAGATTTTTGAGTTATTTAAAAATCTGAAGCGTAAAGTGGATTTGTGTTTGATTCAATAATTAGCTACTGTGTTTTTCTGGTCTGATTCAATATGTACGCTCTGCCTCGCCTAACCTCTGGTCGAAGCAATCAGGCACTCAAATCGTCGTATGTCCGTAATTTCCTGGAGGAAGTAGAAATGGTTGGACAATCGCTTCCCATGAATACACTAAGAAGAGCCTTACAGCAAAACTATGTTAGTAATATAATCTATGGCCTCGGAACCGATAGTTTAAGCGGTCGTAGAAGACATAACTTGCTAAAACCACTAGTTAGCTACAGCTGAAGTTGAGTCTCTAAAGCGAAGCAGCTGAATTTGGTGACGTATCTGGCAGTTTTCCCAGATTTCAGGAGTTTTTAAGGATTTTTCACAAAAAGAAGGCATATTTTTTAAAATTTTGGAGTTAGTAGCGTATCTAACATTTCTTTGAAAAGCGGAAGCTCCTGTGGAATTTTTTTTAGACGTTAGGAGCAAGTTTTTGAATGAGCGGAGAGCTTCAGTGTTTCCTGTAACATGGTATTTCACACCGATTTTTCAAACGGTCTTAGTATTCTTGGATAATCAAGTTTCAGGTGCGTACACAGCCTACTTAAAAGTTCCGAAAGAATTGTCAAAAAAGCGCTCGTTAAACTTATTCGTATTTGGCTGCTTGCGTGATGAATTCCATTCCGATGCTATTATATGGTTTTTGATGGCACAGTTTTGTGTTTCTTTTCTTTCCACTTTATAAATCACTCAGAGTTTGTTATTCTCTTTTCAGTCATAGTTCATTGTGTTTTTTGCAGCTGGCAACTTCTCCGTTCTCTATTTTGCGCTGTTCTCGTCCACATAATTCCATATAGCATTTCGAGCAGTTTCTTTCATCGCATTAATAGCTCCCATTGTGTTCAGTAATTGTAGAAAATTTTAGAAAATATGTACAGCACAACTTGAACTGAGAATTGGCGCGCTTAGTGTTGCCATTATTTTTCACGCGAAAATCCGTAATTTTTCCAGGAAATTCTGGAATTTTCTAGAAAATTTTCCATCATCGGACATCAATAATTAATCAGAAATATGGCCGAGAAAAAGGAATATGAATTTAAATGGGATGGAAAAGAAATAAAACACCGGTAAGTAGCCTCACTTTTTTCAGTAATATTCATAAAAGTTTCTGCTCTCACATTCAGCATAAATGCACACTTTTTCATTGCTGTGAATTTGCAGGAAATTCGCTCAATAAAATAGAAATGGAACCATTTTACTAAAATTATAATTCCGCGAGGTTTGAGGAAGGTGTAGACTGCGTCTAGCACCAATATACCTTTTCCCTTCAATTTTTTCGTCAGTAAATTTGGAAAAAATTAAACTAAAACGGAATTGGAATAGTTTCGCTGAAGTTGCACTTTCTTAAACTTTGAGAAAGGTTCAAATTTTTGATACAAATTATTTTCTTCGTCATAAATTTTTTTGAAAAATATGTTGTTATATTTCAGAAATTAATGAAAAATCCTTATTATAAAAATTCAGAAAAAGTTCGCCTGAATAATCATTATGGGGATTCTACATTGCTAATGCCCCCGGGATTGCTCACACGCTCATAGCATGCTTGGACCATTGATCCTAGGCTGCATACCTTCAGCCGGTACCCAGTGATTGTTCGATGTATGAGGGCCACCTTTTGGCAAGCTACTCGAATTGTTATGCCACTTCACGCATTGTTATGCCACTGTTATGCCACTTCCCCCTTCCTCACGGTTGCAAGCGAAGTGAACAATTGTGTATCGCATCGTAGTCGGATTTTTCAACTATGTAGCTTGCAACTTTTCCATTTGTTTTGACCAGCACTGCAGCATCGCCTGGTGGCCAGTATGCTGGTGAGCTTGATGCCTTCTCCCTAGGGGATCACTAGCTCAGCGGTTTTTCCGACTAAAATAATTATAAAAAGGATATAAGGGCTCTCAACGCAGTGTACCCTCACTGATTGTCCAGTCGATCTTGGTATTTTCGGTAATTTGTGAAATAATTGTTTTTTGCAGGTGGGATGGTTTCGTGAAATTTGGCAATGCATCAGCAGTGGAAATGACTGGCAAGAATTTTGATAAATGGCTAAAAGATGCTGGTGTTATTGACAGCAAAAATATCACGACAACGATGACCGGCATTGCGTTCTCCAAAATCACCGGGTTCGAGCTCTTCCAGGCCAAGACCATTCTACCTCAGACTGATCAAAAACAAAGACTGATCTCTCCCCCTCTAAGTGACCTACGATTCATGATTTTGGTAGTATTAGTAATGATCCGTATCCGCCTCATCCCCTTTCTCTCGCATTTACAACCTTCGCTGTAACTTGCTTAGAGCTTGGCGCTCCTGGCTTCCCATCTTTACCGCCGCACGTACAAATTTTTTTCCTGCGATCATTCTTCAATTTCATAATTTTTTCAAATAGATGGGACCGAGAGATTATCCAGAGAATAGAAGATTTAGCGCTGACATCTTTGGTCCTGTTACCTTATCATACTTACAGATGTTAAGCGCAAAATCTAGCTTGTGAAACAAGGCCGATAGCAAAAATTGAATGACTTAGTTTAACTTTGATCGATTGTTATTTCGCTGTCGCGTAATTTTCCGTCACTAAGGCAGCTGGCAACTTCTCCATTCTTCTTTATTTTGCGCTTCTCTCATCCACATTTTTCCATTAAGTTGTCTAAATAATTTGTAAGCCTAGAAATTCCCATTTTAAAATTCTCGAGAAGGAGGAGTTAGTTAATATATATAAGCTGAAGTTAATAGGAGCTTTGAAACAATACCTAAAAGATGAAAGTCCAACAGCCGGATATCTTTTCTGATCCCTCACTGCCTCTTTCCTTTCCCTTTCACTCGTTCTGCTCCCTTCTGTCCTGATCCCGGCCTATCTTCCCATCTCCATCTCCTCCCCGTTTTTATGCCCTATAAGGTACTCCTCCCGAGGTCACTTTTTTACTTTCGCAGCCATTCGTTTCCGGTCACTTAATTGATCAAATCTGTTCTCTTCGATCGTATTGTTTTAGTAATCCAGATCCATTTCAGATCCAAAAAGAAGGCAAATTTTAACGAAACTAAAGATATTTTGGCTGCTGTTGCAGAAGATCGAGCGCGGAAAACAAAAAAGGATCCCCAGGTCAGCAGTTTCTGGATTTCCTCCTCAGTTAGAATTTAAAAAAAAAAAGATGGCTTGAAATGCTCGCTAATTGCTAAACCATTGTGCATTTAGTCAAAATGAAACTAGATAATGGAAAAAGTGAAAGAAAATAGAATAAATTCGCTCCGGTATTTTTTGATTTGCTTCACCACTGTGGTACTTCCGTGTCTCAACGTAACTACCTTGATAATTACCCTTCTATCAGCTGTTATCTCGTTGATTGATTTCGTACCGTTGATGCAATTGGCAACTTCATAATTCTCCTCTGTTTTGAACTTCCCTCATCTGCATAGTTCCATGCAGCCATTTCTATCAGATTATTTCTGTGTCATATTGGCGGCCTTTCTTATTAGTTTTCCACGTTGCTTAGGTATTATTCAGTAATCCGCTTTGTCCATATGCTGCCTCTCATTCTTGTTACATAGCCAGACCCGCTTTTTCTTTTAACATATCCTGTCCGAATAATGTGGCTCAAGCTAAACCAAACGGCATTACTTTATTGCAGTAGATACGTTGCAGTTTACTGGCACCTACCATGCGTCATTTCATAGCAGATTGCGTCGTGATAACATTTTCAGCCTCCTTTTCATTCAATCTCACCAGCTCTTAGCTTTCCTAATACTTGTCATGCGCATATATATATGTATATATATATATATATATATATATATATATGTATTTATGTATGTATATACATACGTGAGGTAACGCAAGAGCTACGAGTCGATGCGCTTATTGACCTTCTTTTTTTAGGAAGCGCATGCGAACTCGTTTTCTCCTTAACAACTGACACTGTACCCTTTTTTCCCCTAAAATCCATGTTTGCTGTTACTAACTACTGGCTTTTTGTCGCTCCTTCAGTACCTCTTAAAATAGGTTAACACCACTGACTCTGCAGCAGAAAGTTGCCCTTGGCAACGTACTGTCATTCTAGTTACTTTGGGAGGACGGAGATGGCGAGGAGAGAGGAGGGAGGGAGAAGTGCCTACATTTTTTCTCATAGAATTGTAAAATATGGAAAGAGGAAAAGTTATGTTGGCTTTAATTAATTTTTCATGATTTAAGCTTCAGCAAAGTGCTTTACTTTTTTGGTGCACTCATCCATAAGCAATTCCTAAAAATGCCTCTTTCACTGCAATCATCCATCCTTTCTCTTCCCCCTTTGCACAAATTTTAGATGCTTCCCGAAGTCATTTAATCCCAAGCGGTGTTAGCATCACCGCGAATCCCTTATATTTAAAATATTTGCATCAGCGGAAATTTATAATGTAAGTTCTAAAGCAGCTGGTAACTTTTCTGTTTGCATTGATCAGTACTGCTTTTACTTGGTGATCAGTCTGTTGGCGATCCCGACCTTCGCTTTATCACTCAAATTTGGATTATTAAACTGGATTGCTCATTGCTTCCTTTATAAATCTGGCCGCTGGGAGTCGCACGAATAATTACGGGTTGTTTGGGTTACGGTTGGTTGCCTACTCTCGATTACATCGAGAATTCTTCTTGAATAGTTTCATCAACTACGATTATCTTTAATTTTTAACTCTTTTTTCTAGAATAATTTGTTGAACCGAACAGGAGATTTGAAAAACGCTCCTTCTAGGTGTAATTTAAATTTAAATACTAACTTGGTTCTGCTTGTTGATCAAAATTACAGCTCGGCCGACGCAGCTACTCTAAAATCTTTTTTTTTATTGGTATTCCTTTGTAAAGTCCTCCTTTATAGAGTCCGGATGTACCTGCTTGATGAGGAGGGGAGGGGGAGGGAAAGTCTTGAAAAAAATACGAACAAGCTTTATCCCATCAAATGAGAACCAAAAACGGAAAGTAACGAAGACAGGCAAAAACAGACAGCCATTTCAGTCACAAGTCTGTCACTAAGTAATACACAGCTAAGAAAACAAAACGTCAAGTGTGGAGAGCTCGAGTCTCGACATGGAACACTTACTTGTGGAGAGCGGGGCAACTAAAGGCAGAGGGATTAGCTTTCTTCGTCCCTTACTCGTGCCTGCCATTTATTCCATTTTCTAACATCTTCCTTCATGCCCTCTAGTCGGTTAACAGGACTGCTCCCATTATTATTATTGTCATTATTGTTGCTACCATTATCATATTATTATTATCATTACTGTTACAGCAGCTGGCCTCAATAAAATCGAAGAATTTGCGTGAATAACCTCGTCAACAGCAATTATCTTTGATTTTTAACTCGCTTTTCCAGGAAGAACTTGATGTAATTATTGAAAAATTATCAAAATTGGAAGCACCAGCGTTGAAAAATGTCGCAAAAGCATCGGCTGATGGTGTGTACAACCGTTTGACGGATCATACCAAATACACCGGCTCGCATAAGGAACGCTTCGATGCTGAAGGCAGAGGACGCGGAAAACTGGGAAGGGAAGATGTCATCGAGCAAACCGGTTATGTGGCTGCTTATAAAAATAAAGATACTTATGATAAAGTGCACAAAAATAACCAATGATCTCATGAGTCCACGGAAGTCCGCTTCTGGGGTATTTTTTCATAATTTCACAAAAATTCGTTTCTAGGCAACTTTTTTATGTTTTCATGAAATTGTATCTTCTGGACCATTTTCTCACTATTTTACAGAATACACTTCTGGGCATTTTTCACATAATTTCGCGTGAATGCGCCTCCAAATTATTTTCCCATGTTTTTGTGAATTTGCACTGCTGAGTCATTTTCTGGTTGTTTCACAAGCATGTACAACTCTGCCATTTTTTTTTTTTCGTGATTTCGCAAGGAGGCAAATTTGAGGAAGATCCGCGGAAAATGAATGGAAACGAGGTAGGAGGAGATTTTGGGATCGAAATGTGGCCTAAAAGTGTACTCGCTTTAGCAAATAATGTTCATATTATTAATGATAAGCTGATAAATTTCATGCTTACCTTTTCTTTAAAGAAAAGAACTTTCACGACATTTTTGTAAATCATTTCTCTTTTATGGCAATGTATGCTGCTGAGGAGCTGTTTTGGTAAAAAGTCATAGTTCCTTTTCAAAAAACAGGTCAAGTTTTTCCGATAGCTTTCTAGTCGTCAACATTTTCAAGCGGACGTTGTTGTTAGCATTTGTTGCATTTCGAGCTACTTGCTAGTCGCTCCACTTCTTGTAGAGAGCAAATACGGGAAAACGATTCCGAGAATCGGACAAAATAGAAAGCTGAAATTTTACGAGGATATTCTTTGTTACTGTGCGATTTAAGAATATAGTAGTGCCTGTGATGGCAGTTGTGGACGAGGTAATTCGTTCACCGTAATGCAGTTCAGTGGAAATATGGCTTTACCAAAATGGCTCTTCCAGGTACGAAACAGTTGTTTTTATATAAAACATCTATTATAATGAGACAACTAAAACACTCCCTCGCTCATTCACCGCTGCTTTTCCGAAGCGTTTCTATGATCCTCGTTTTTTTTCTTTCAGAAATACTTCGTCTCACTGTCGCATTTCCTTGCCATTGATGCAGCTGGCAATTTCGCAGTTCCTCCCTTCTTTGGGCTTCTCTTTTCCACATAATTCCATATAGCCGTTCAAGGGGATCTTTGTGCAGATTCTTCTGTATTGAAAAACACAAAAACCGTTAGCGTAGCAAAAGGATCTACTTGAACGGCTATAATGAGACGCAAAGTGAAAAACCCACAAAAATTGCAAGAAGAAACACGATGATGAAACAACAGCTGATCAAGGTACCATACTTCAGATTGTCTGCCGTTGCTTTGAGAAGAAATTCTAGGAAACAGTCCCGAATTTTCTTGCCGGAACTTTGTTTGTCTGTATTGTACCATCAATTTTTCGATTTGTTTATCTGTAATTTTTCAGTTTTTCTCAATTCTTTACACGCATTTTTGGAAAAAAAAATAATAAGTAAAAAAAGACGCATTATGACGAATCATATCTGTTGTATATGTGTGTGCATATCTGTCTTCTATTTGTCCTGATGACTTAATTGCAGGGAGCTGAAAATCTGAAATTCTGAGGCGAAATCCTTCTATACGGGTAACAGAGGCGTAAAATCAGTTTTCACTTCTTCTTAGTTCTTGCAAAAAAAGAAGCACAAATGATATGAGCCCATATGTGCATAGGTATTTTGACCAGAATTAAGGCTAGACGGTTATAACATGAAGCACAACAGACTAAATTTTTGTGTTCCATGATGGCACTTGAAATAAGCATGATGCGGTAAACTGGTGTTCGCTGCATCCAACCACTGTTAACTCGTAACACTGCTGAGTTATGTAGGTGTACGAAAGGATCCAAGAGGCCACTAGGGAAGGGAAGAGATTGAGTGGATCTTTTTCTCAGGGACCAACTGTCAATTTGGATTCATGAATTAGCGAATCAAAAAGTGAGAAAGGAATCGGGACCGAGAGTTTGATGGGGATTTGAGGGTTCGATCATTCCTAAAAATTCTTTCCCGTTTTCCAGGATCACTTCTACACACCGGGAGAGATGGACTTCATTACCAAAAGTATCTGGACCGTCCAAATCCCGTCCCATGGTCACTGAGACGTTCGTACACATCGGACATAGCTATGCCGGACCTTCCGATCTTGGGCTGCATGTCTCTGTAGCTGTATACGCGTTACTTCTGCGACCATACGAATAGTCATATACTTTCTAGCGGCATCACTCATTGATACATAACACCTAACGGTTGTTGGCAAGATGAGCAATATACCCTGTTCAGGAAGACTTCACTGTTTCAAGTCATAATGCCATTTTTTTCGCGGAACTAGTGCAAGGGTCACGTGAAATGGCGGACTGCAAGGGCACATAAGTCCAGAATTTTTCCCGTTCTCGGCGTGATGGATTGCGAAGGTATGATTCCGGAATGCCCCAAAGATGACCTTGAAAATTCAAATTAACATCTCTGGATGAATTTACAGTCAATAAATCACTATTCTACTTACTTTTTGCGCATCGTTGATTGTAACTCTTTATGCCTTGATGAATTGTTTTGCATAAACTTAGTTTAGTCTACTTCAAAGCACTGGATTTCGACTCGTTTTACTATATTTGATGCAATTTCATCTATTGTGAAGCAGTAAATGCATTTCGCTTGTTTTATAACACTGGTCGCAATAGCTTCGGGGGGAAAAAAAGCAGAGCTTCTGGGGGAAAAAAGCTGGTTGCAATAGCTTCTGGGGGGGAAAAAGCAGAGAAAGGTGCAACAAAACGACGAGCTCAGCAACCAAAAAACATATCACCATTCCCCCTCCTTTTGCCTCAATCCCGTTAGGTGCTGGGAATTTTAAAGTATTTGTTAATAACTTTTCTCAGCCCCCTTTTTCCATCTAACTACCCTTCTCATCGTTTTCTTTTTCTTGATATTTTCTTTTCAACCCTAAATTTGATGTCCGGTCTTCTACAAAGCAGAAATTATCAGCTGTAAAAAATTTTCATGTCTATGATTTGAGGGCAAATACGCATACCAGAATAGACTAGACAAATACAGGCAGAGCATTACCACATGCAAAAGGACGAATAAGGCGAAAAAATC